TGTTTATATACCCGAATGGGTCTTGAGCAAGAATGAGACTGTTTCTAGAGATTTCAGAGATTAGCTTCTCTCTTTGTTGTCTCATTGAATAAGCAATGCATTTTTGTAGCACACAGCATCCATGTCGATGTGTAGCGATTTCAGTACAGTACTTTGTCGCTGCATCGAAGATAAACTGTTGGAAAAGACGAAAACAGAATTTTAGCTAAGAGTAGAGTTTATAAGAGAGTGAAAAGGAAATGGCTTTAGTGGTCTCTTAATTGACCTTGTTGTCTTCTGTGCCAAGGCATTGCAAGCAACGTTGAATCACATGGTTTCCATTTAAATCCTTGATCAAATCGAGGAAACCTGGTCTCAAAGCCGATTTCACAAGCGAAATCTGTTTTCCGGTTCTGATTGTTTCCACTAATCTCTGAACAACTCGAGTACTACAAAAACAAAGATAATCAAACACAAGTTCTTTAGCATATTAGAATGATCTCTTAGAGTGTAATTGTTTGTTTTACCCGTATGCGTTAAGCGATACTCGGATAAGTTGACCGGGCTCAGAAGTGGCCACGAGCACGATCTGCGTTCTTTGTTCTTCGGTACAAACATCTAAAAGTTTCTGCATCAAGTAATTCCCAAAAGGATCCATCATAAGCTCAACAACATGAGCAATAACCTCATTGAATATGATCATTGCGTCAACGGGAGTTCCTTCATCGAAAATCCGCTGCAAGAATCGACATCCATGTTGATCTTTAGCCATCAAGTACACATATCCTTGAATGTCACACACGTTAGGCAGATTCTGATGACATATCTCTGTACCATTCCCATAATCAGACATAATCAATCCTCGAGTCGTACCAACACCGCTTCTCTGATGATCCAAGCTTTTACCTTCCATGAAAAAACTCTCCTCAGAACTGCTAAATGGAACATTAGTGGTTCCTTGAGACAACATCTCTGACGTTGTTGCTGTTCTGTATCCTTGATGATTATACGAAAAATCGAGCTGTTGTTGTGGCGGCGAATAAGCCGAAAACTCTCTGTTTCCTCCTCCTCCGCCTCCACGACTCAAACCCGATCTGAAAATCTCTTGACCACCACCATTGAAGTAAGGACTATTAGTGTTTGAGTAGCTAGGCCAACCAATTTGGCGGGAATTAGCAATGGAATCATGAATTTGAAGAGTGTTGTTGTTATTACCAAACATGTTTCTCTTGTCGTTGTTATTGTTCAAAACAGAGTCACAAGACTCCATTGATGATGTACTAAAGAAACCACCAGAGACAAATCCACCATTGTTACTAGGTGAAAAACTCGTACCAAAATTGAAATCAGACTCAGGAATCGAACCTAACGTATCAAAATCTTCTTTGATTTTCATACGGTAAAGATCTTCACACAAACCAAGATCATCATCAACACCATTAACCTTCTTCTCATGATCTTTATGAAACAGAGGATCATAAGTGATCGGAGAAGAAGAAGAAGAAGAGTGTTGAGTGATGATTCCGTTAAACGGAGGAGAAGAAGAAGAATCATCGGAAGAATAGAAGCCATTAGAGAAAGAGCTCGAAAGTGAATAATCAGAGGAAGAATTGAAAGAGAATCTGTTGCTTGATGAGAAATCTCCATGAAAGAGGTTT